ATTACAATTCAGATTTCTACCCCAGCAATGATTCCCACAGAGGACATGGATATCTGCCTGTTTGTCTCTCCAATTTTGGAAGCAGTGATTTGCCCTGTGACCTCTTTCTCTGGTGGATCTAAATGGTGGTGTTGATTTTTTCTTTTTTGTATGTTCAGCTTTGTACTTGTTAAGAAGAAGTGGCAACTTCCAAGTTTTCTCCATGCCAGACCAGAAACTTAAAGTCCTGTGGGAAATCTGTTGATTACTAACTCTGTCATTTTACTTGATGAAGTCTATTCAGATTTTCTATTTCTTCTCAAGTAAATTTCGGTATTTTGTGTTTTTCTAGGAATATGTCCATTTCTTCTAAGTTATCTAATTTGATGAAATATAATTTTATAGTATTCCCTTTAATGTTTTTATGTATGGTCAGTAGTAGTGTTCTCTTTTTCATTCCTGATTTCAGTAATTTGAGTATTCTCTTGTTTTTTTTTATTAGTCTAGTTAAAGTTTTTTTCAATATTGTTGAGCTTTTCATTGAACTACCTTTTGGTTCTTTGATTTCTATTGCTTTTCTCTATTTCATTAGTTTACCCTCTAGTTTTTACTGCTTTCCTTGTTTGGTGTTTAGTTTGCTCTTCTTTTCCTGTTTCTTATGGTGGAACATGGTGGAAAATGAGCACGGATTTGGGGATTTTCTTTCTTAATTCAGTCATTTGAAGTTATAAAATTCCCTCTGGCCCTGCTTTATTAGCTCTATTCCATAAAATTTGCTTATATTGAGTTCTCATTTAATTTACCACAATATATTTTCTAATTCCTCTCATGATTTTTTTCTTTGATCCATTGATTATATGTGTGTTCTTTTATTTTGTTCTGTTATTTATTAATACCCAACCTTGCTCTGTCATTCATTTGTAATTTCCTTGTCATCAGAGAACATACTTTGCATGCTTTTGACAATATTACATCTATTTAGACTTCTTTTATAACTTGACATATAGTCTGTACTGGAGAATGTTTCATGTACACTTGAGAAGACTGTGCATATTCTGTTTTTGTTGAATGAAAGTATTCTGTAGACATGTCTAGTTAGTTTATAGTGTTCTTTATAACTTCTGTTTCCTCCTTGATCTTTTTGGCTAGTTGTTCTAGCCATTAATAAAGCAGAATATTGAATTCTCTGTTTCACCCTTTAATTCTGTCATTTTTTTTTCTATGTATTTTGGTGCCCTGTTTCTCAGTGCATGTATGTTTATAATTAAAATGTACTTGTTTGTATGGTTATAATATTGTCTTCAATTCTATTTTGTCTCTAGCCACTTCAGCTCACTTTTGATTACTGTTCTCCTGATATATCTTTTATTTTTTTTTTACTTTCAGCCTATTTGTGTCTTTAAAACTAAAGTGTGTCTCTTGAGACAGCATATAGTTAGATCTTTTTTAAAATCTATTTTCCAGTCTCCACCTTTTAATCATTTCATTCATATACATTTATGTAATCACTGATAAGTAGGATTTAGGTCTGCCACTTTGTCTGTGTCTTCTGTCTTTTTTGTTTCTCTATTCCTCCATTACTAACTTTGTGTTCAGTAAATATTTTCTTGTGTGTCATTTTAACTACCCCCCCCCTTTTATAAACTATATTTTTTGTAGTTATTTTCTTACTGGGGATTGAATATATTTTTTGGAGTTATTTCTTACTGGGTTGCCCTGGAGATGCCAATTAATATTTTAACTTGCTTGGAGTAATATCAATTTAATTATAATAAGGAAAATTTGTTTATATATATATATAAATATATATATATATCTCATTTTTTCTTTTGTGCTGTTATCATATAAGATATATAATATACATTGTGTGCACATTAACAGCGATTTATAATTATTGCTTTATCAGACAGTGCCCTAATTTGTTATTCATCTTTGGAAGATAGTTTTGCTGGATATACAGTTCTTTTGATAGTCTTTTCTTGCAGCATTTCAATATATTATCCCACTGCCTTCTGGCCTCCATTGTTTCTTAATCTTATTGAGATTCCCTTCTACATGATGAGTTGCTTCTCTCTTGCAGCTGTCAAGAATCTCTTCTTATCCTTGACTTTCAGCAGTTTGATTAAATGCTTCTAGGTATAAATGTCTCTGAGTTTATACTACATGTGGTTGAGCTTATTAAACATGTAAAATGGTATTCATCAAATTTGAGAAGTTTTTGGCTATTATTTCTTCAAATATTCTTTCTGTTCCTTACTCTTTCTCCTCTGCCTTGGGGACTCTACACTGTATGGTGTCCCACAGGCCTCTCAATTGACCTATCTTCAAGTTCATTTCCACCCTTCTTTTTCCTGTCCCTCCTGCTGAAATCTATTGAAGCCCTCTCATGAATCTTTCATTTTTTATTATACTATTCAGCTCCAGAATCTTGTTTCCTTATTTCTGTCTCTATTTCTTATGGTTTCAGCTCCAGAATTGTATAATTCAAGAATTCTATGTTTCCATATTTCTGTCTCTGTTTCTCATGGTTTTATCTCATCTATTTGATGAGACTTTTTCTACTTTATTTAAACACAGTTTCCTTTAGTACTGTGGGCATACTTGAAATAATAGCTGACTACTGTTCTAACATCTTGACTTCTCAAGATCAGTGTCTATTGACTTTTCTTCCTCTATATGGACCATAGTTTGTTTCTTCGTATGTCTCTTGTTGAAAACTGGACATAATAAATAATATAATGTGGTAACTCTGGAAAACAGATTCTAGCCCCCTCTCCAGAATTTGTAATTGTTTCTGGTTGTTTGCCTTGTGACTTTTTTGAACTATTTCTCTAAAGTTTGTATTGTTTGTCATGTGTAGCCATGGAAGTTTCTGCTTGGTTAACTTAATGGTCAGCTAATGATCAGAGTTCCTTAGTTGCCTGAAACCAATAAGTCTCTCAGTCTTTGCCAAGGAGGTCTGTATGTGCATTGTTGCAAGCCTTCAACACCCAGCCAAGCTTAGCTTTTAATCTCTGCTTGTGCAGAATCTCAAGGTTAGACTGTAATGAGAGCTTAGGGCTTTCTCCAGTCTTTTGAGAGCATGCATATAGCCTTACTCATGTACATGGCTTTCTAGATTCCCAGGAACATATTGGAGTTTTGCAGAGTCTCCCATGGACTTCTCACTTCCCAGGTTTTACTTCTAAACTTTTTTGGTTACCCTATTTTTTTGCTCCAGCTGTTAAATACCATCTCAGGCAGCAACAATATTCAACAGTTGGCTCTGATTATTATCAACAAATGTGAATGAAGAAAGGCTGTTCACACTAAGTTCTAAGTCACACCAAATGAAGATAACATTACTGGTGGGATCTGCCCAAGAACTAACAAATAGGTCAAATAATGTCAGTTCTCTGGGAATGGGGCTTTGGAGGAAATCCAACCCCATTTGGCACCCTCCTGTAGCTGGCAGACTGCTGATTTTCATCATAAATGTGGACTGCTATCGTGAAGCTATGGGGAGGATTAGATTAAGGCAAGTTAAAACCCACACAGCTCACTCTTCTTACCAAAATTCTGTTTTTCTTGAATAGATACTCCCTGTGTTGCTGAAAGCCTTTTGTTAATTTCCAGATTTCTGAAGAAGTTGATTCTGACAATATATACTGATACTCCAACTGCTTTTACGGAGCAGAGACTTTTTGGAGATCCTTATGCTATTTTTTTCTGACATCTGTAAAATAGTACTTTCTAATTGTAATAGTACTTTCTAATTGTAATTCTAATTCTAATTCTTCTGCATTTATTAGCTGGAATTCTTTAAAGAACTTTTTTTTTTTTTTGTCCTTTTTGAGACCGGTCGCACCGCGCTCAGCCAGTGAGCGCTGTGAGCGCACCGGTCATCCCTATATAGGATCCGAACCCGCGGCGGGAGCGCTACCGCGCTCCCAGCGCTGCACCCTCCCGAGTGTGCCATGGGCTCAGCCCTAAAGAACTTTTTTATACCAACTCTTTGGTCACCATTGAATATAGTTTGTAAACAAATGACAGAAGAAACGTATAGTAAGAATCTTTAGTTGCCAAATTTCAGAGATCGCAATCTGTGTCCAGATTTGCTTCTGAGATGTCATTACTTTTAGGCTTTTTCAGTGGGCAGACACAGGAAGTAATTATTTCTAAGAAATAATTTTGAATTTTTAAATTGAAATTATGAGTTCATATTTTTTTCTATTCTAAGATTATAGGGTATTTACTTTTATTTTACACTGAAATGCTTGGGTTTTGACATTATTTCTGTATATCATATACAAGTACATTAATTTCAAAATATTAATACTCATAAATCTACTTGAATATAGTTTTCTTTGTAGGTGATTTTATTATTTGGGGTTTGGGGTTTTTTTTAAATTTTTTTTCTCTGTTTATTGTCACTAGAATATATTTGATTAGGGTTGTAAAGACATAAGACTGTATTTTAGCCAAAATAGAAAGCACTCAAATGCCCCTGATAGAATGGTTAATTTGTGGCATATTTATACAATGGAATATGGTACTTAATGAAAATGAAAAATGTACAACTACATGCAATGAAACGGGTAGATATTCAAAATATAATGATGTAAAAAGAGCCAGACACAAATAATTTTATATACATATGTATTTATCAAGTATAAGAATAGAGAAATTACTGTTAAAGGGACAGCACCTGGAAGAAAGTATGAGAAGAGATTCTAGGGCGCTAGTAAAATTTTTTCTTAGTTTGACTATTTACCTGGGAATGTTTTTTTTAATGAACATTTTTGAGTAAAATTATGTGTACTATTCTGTAGTGTATTGTACTGCAATAAAAAGTTTAAGTTGTATTTTACAGTCAATTGAAATAGTTCTGTGCGTGGTTATGCCACAACTTAATTCACAGTTAGGTTAGACTTCTTTTCAAGCTCATTTTACGTTCATTTTGCATATGCTTACCCAGAATACGAAATTGGCAACCTGGATAATGCTATCTGTAGCCTTGAACTTCTCCTTTGGCTTCTCAGGAGAACCTGTGCCTGTCAGGGGCTGGATCCAGAGACCTGTGGTGCCTCCTTTTCTTTTGGCTGTTCATGGAGCATGTACTACAATGGATGTAAGTTTGCCAGAAGCAAGATCCCAAGGAAATTTAAGCTACTTGGGGATGACCCAAAAGAGGTTGGTATACTTCCTGGTGTATAATCACTTTATTTTTCATCGAGAACTGAAGTTAAGCTTGTGTTAAGCTGTCTAACAGAATTTCACTTCAGATGAATCAACAAAACTCTGGTTAAACTTTAGACATAATATTTTACAAAGTTAGCATAATAATAACCATATTATACCAAAGTAATAGGAAGAGTTTCTGTTGCTCAAATTTTATCTATGGCCTTTTATATTTATTATTTATCTTAGTTGGTTCCAGAGTTTTACTTTTCACTTTCAGCTGCTTCATTTTATTGAATTAATCTAAATTTTTTTTTATTGTAACATGATTGATTATACATATTTGTGGGTACAGAGTTGAATATCAATACCTGTGTGCAGTATGTGATGCTCAAATCAGGATAATTAGAATACTCAACACTATACAATATAATCATTTTTGTGTCCCTTTACCAGTCCTTACCTTACAGTGCGCTCCCCGTTTCCCACTTTTGGTAATTCCAGAATTTTAAAGGGCTGTCACTTCAGTTTTAAAACTAAAGGAGGATTAGTAATGTCTCCTATCTTTTGAATCTGAAGTATGGAAGTCATGTTTATACCTGCTACATTCAGACCACTTCTAGTCACATTTACATGCTATGAGATTTATTTTTTTGTGGGTGGCCAGTATGGGAATCCAAACCCTTGGTCTTGGTATTATAATACCACACTCAAACCAACCGAGCTAACTGGCCAGCCCCATGCCATGAGATTTAGATAGCTTAAAGTTACTGTGTAATGAATGCATTGAAGTAACTAAGACATTTAGATTGTAACATAAATATGCAATTGATATAAAAGATCAATGATTCCTCATATTGAAGTCACTGGGTTTTGTCTTTTCTCTACAATATACTTCCTAAAATATAATTTGCAAATCGATATCAAATTTAACAACTTTTGGGCACACACAGACTGGTGTATGCTAATTGAATGATCAGAAAACTTCAGTATATTTAGCATTTAGATATGAGGAAATTTTTAGTCTCTACACCTTACACTTATCTTTTGAATTTTAAATACAATTAATATATACTTGTATTTATAGATATAAATTAATATATACTTGTAATATAGATATTACAATATTGATGAAAAAATTAACTTTATTATTTGTGAGTATAATTATAAGTGAAAGTACAATAAAGTGCAAAATTCTTGAAATCACACTAAAAACTTTTTTCAAAGGATAATAATGTTTTCAACAACATGGCTTAAGTGTACTAGACATCCTTTTTTCATAAAAACAAAAATTTTTTAAATTCATGAAGAATAACAATTCTGAGAGGTTTTTCACCATGATTTTATAAATATGTATCACTTTAACCAGGTTTCATGTAAAGCAAATCTAGAAGGAGAGCTCTGCTCAGAAACTTCACCTTCTAAGATTTACATCTCTTCCAGGTTAAGTCTCCCAACTTTTTTTTTTTTTTAAGAGAAACATCAAATCTAGGGGTGGCCAGTTAGCTCAGTTGGTTAGAGCATGGTGCTGATAAAACCAGGGTCCAGGGTTCAATCCTCGTACCAGCCAGCTGTCAGAAATAAAGATAAAATAGAAGCATCAATTTTAACCTAGAACTTCTAAATATGCATGGAACAACTAAGTATTGTTACCTACCACTTTTTTTAAAAAGCATATTAATTGGAAAATCTGTTCTTCCTGAGCTGGGGGCCGGGGGATGGAGGGCTGGTAGTGTAACTTACCATTTTCCCTCTCAGGTAAAGTTTTTTATATATACACTTGTTCTAGTTTTGTACATTTTATCTATATTTGAAGTAATTTTTAGTTGTATGGAGAGATTATTTCTACTTTTGAAATGCTATCTTTATAAACTTTATAAACTTTCTACTTATAAAATGCTATCTTTATAGTAATTTTTAGTTGTATGGAGAGATTATTTCTACTTTTGAAATGCTATCTTTATAAACTTTGTAAAAGATAAAGATTGGAAATAGACCAATTAAGACAAAAACAATCTTTCCAATAGTTCTGTCTTCCTTGGCAGCTAACAGCGACAGTGGAAAATATGACTTCTTTAAGACAATCTGCATGCAAAGTAGAAAATCAGTTCATCTTACTGTTCGTAGGACCAAATAGCTAGATTTTAATAGCACATACAGAAATGGTTGATATATGGTCTATACTTTTTACTTAGAAAGTCATTTTTTTAAGATGCTTTAGTTATTTAATAATAACACTATATTGTATTTTTTGGACCCAACGTGTAGGGGAAATAATCTGATAGCTCCTCTCATATAGAGAGGGAATGAATTCAGAATTTAATATTTAGAATTATTCATTTTATACAGGAAGAGAAACTGGAGTCTCATTTGCAAAACCTGTCCACTCTTCTGGCACCAATATATAAAAAACTTGCACCTGATGCATATAATAATCAGGTAAGTTTGAATAATTATTGGCAGTGATTGTAACTACTTCCAGAAACATTTTTAAAGCAATGATTTTCCTGTTTTTTTCTTTTTTAAAAAATATATTATTATATTTTTACATTCTAAGATGTGGAGCAATTGGGAGGGAGGGGGATAGGGTGAAAGAGGATGAAGTAGGGGGAGGCATGGCCAAGGCCCGTGGCACCCCCCTCATTCCAGCAGGGGAGCCCAGGGAACTTCTGGTGGCGGCTTGGTTGTGGCTGGGCTGGATGCAGATGTCCCGGGGAGTGGGGCTGTGCACATGGCTGGGTAACTTTTTTCTCTTAATTGCTGAAGCCACTGAAGTGTTCTGTTTCTGGTATTTAAAAATTATACCATCCAAAAGAGCATATTTCTGGTCTTTTTAGCTGTAAAGATAATAAGCTCTTAAGGCTCACAAGCTCTTTTATCTATTAATTTTGTTCTCATATGGGTAATTTTGTCTCTGTAAGCAGACTTCAGTGATTACATTAAAATAATATGGCCCAAACTATACGTTCTAACCACCTATTAACTGTTTTCACAGGAAGTCTGTAAATATAAAGCTATGAGTGTACTACATTGCAAGCATATATACCTGTGTTCAGATGTCAGATTTCGCCAGATCCTCTTCCATTTGGCACTGGTTTCATGAACCAAGCCAAAACATTTTTTTCTCCTCCTATTTTATATGTGTGTCCTAGGCTGTACCTAGTTAGCTAGCTAGGTAATTTGGTCAGAAATTGCTCATGAAGGAGGCAAAAGACTGTAAGTAATATCAACAACAAAAACATTCAGTAAATGGCTGTTACAAACCAGACAGTTTATTAACTGATGACATAAAGATAAGCAATGCAGCCTCTCTCTCTTTAGGGAATTTCTTCCTTAGAGAAGACAGTGACATGTGATGTAGCAATTACAGAACAACATTGTAACATCTAGGATAGAGGTTTGTGCAAATTTCTGAAAGAATGAAAAAGGACTATTCTGAGAAAGTAGAGATGTCACAAATGACCCTGCATGTAAAATAAAGATCTTTGAACTTTATCCTGTAGGTAATCATTGGGGTGTTCTAAGAGTTTTTTTTTTTAGGAGCAAGAGAAGATGAACTGATTTAATTTTTATTTTAAAAAGGTTACTGAATGAGCCAAATATGTAAGGAAATGTAACAGAAATCGATGTAAGATGAGAGAGAGAAGGAAAGTATTGCAATCATTGTGCAAGGGATTTTTAAGGTCCTAAATTAAAGAATTGGCAGGAGTGATAGAGAAAAGGAAATAAGTACATAATATATTTGAGGTGGAATTTATACAACTTGGATTTATGAATGAGCCAGAGAGATTTGGGGATCCACCAAATTTCTGGTTTGGACAGGTGGTTCTGTTAACTAGTATCAGGCACTAGTGAAAAATAGGAAGTTTGGGGAAGGTATTAAATTATTATTATTTTATTTATTTATTTATTTATTTTGGTGGCTCTCCAGTACAAGGATCTGAACCCTTGACCTTGTGTTGTAACACCATACTCTAACCAACTGAGCTAACCAGCCAGCCTTAAATGTCATTTTTGACATGCTGTGTTTGACATGCTTCAAGGTTAATTAGATGGAGAATCAGTAGAAAATTCCAGGCTAGCACTATAGATTTTTATCATTGGCACTTTAAGTACAGGTAGAGAAAGAGAAGCCAGTGAAGTAAGTGCCGGGGGAGAAGGGGAGGAGAAATGGAAGAGAGGTTAATTATTTAAGGGAAAGGGGTAGACTGATAGCTGCAGTAAAACTGGAGGTGATGAGAAAGTATCCAGAGCAGAGTACACAACAGCAATCGGTATGGGGGTGTGTGACAAATTATTAAAGAGTCTAATAGGATTTGATTAGTTTACACAGCATAGACACACTAATCCTAAATATTGATTTAGCTACTCTTATGCGGTGGACTTTAACACTCCTCCTACAAATACAACTTTTTTTTTTTTTTTTTTATAGCATTGGAGGTAGATTTTGATGATGGTCTATAAGTTGTTTTATGTCTCAACTTATGTTTTTAGAAATGTGTGTGAATATGAAATTTTTAAATGCTGTTAATAGTGGTAATAATGTGTCAGATCACACAGGACTATAAGGAATACTTCAGTACTGTTGTAAGAGTTTAATTCTGGGCAAGAAATACTATGATGAATCAAGCTATTAAAAGAAAATGAATTAATTTTCAATAAAGGTATTTCCATCAGGAAAAGTAATCTTTTTATCCAGTGTTGTTTGAACAGTCGGATAATATGGGGGGAAAGTAACCTTGACCCTTAACCTCATATAAAAATTAACTCCAAATGGATCCACTGATATAAAATGCAAACTAATCTATAAATGACATAAAGCAGATCAGTAGTTGTGTGGGAACAAAGTGAGAGGCATGAATTATAAAGAGGCACGAGGAAACTTTTGGAAGTAATGGACATGTACTTTATTTTGATTGTGATTGTGGCTGTGGTTTCTTGCATGTATACATATATCAAAACGTTAAAAATCTAATTACTTCCCCATTCACACACACACTATTTTTTTTTCAGATTGAATATGAACACAGAGCACCAGAGTGTCGGCTGGGTCTAAAGGAAGGCCGTCCATTCTCAGGGGTCACCGCATGTCTGGACTTCTGTGCACATGCCCATAGAGACTTGCACAACATGCAGAATGGCAGCACATTGGTAAGTGCAGCTGGAGACAGCTTAGCAGTGCCTTCTGTTGAAAAGTGAAAGGATGAGAGTTAGTAGCATTTGGTTAGAGTAATATGTTCTCTGCAGGTGTCACTGGACAACAGTGTTCTCACGAATGAATTGCTGTTGCAAGGTGACCTTCTTTGGCATAACTAGCACTCATAACAAGGTGAAAGAAATCAGGCCCAGAAAGAGAAATATCACGTTCTCTCTTATTTGTGGGAGATAAAAATAAATAAATAAATGCACACAGGAAAAAAAAAAAGGGGGGGGGGGGGGGGGGGACAAGATGGTCTTGTCTTTGTCTCCCTGTACCATTTTGGTGCTATTTTTATTAACAAAAAGATAGAAATGGTTTTATGGTAATATGCATATCACTGATGACACTGAGAGGGAGAAAGATACACACACACACTTTTCTTTTGGACCTATAATTGAGGCTGTGATGTCCCACTTCCCTACTAGGTATGTACCCTCACTAGAGAAGACAATCGAGAAATTGGAGGAAATCCTGAGGATGAGCAGCTCCATGTTCTGCCTTTATACAAAATCTCTGATGTGGATGAGTGTGGGAGTATAGAAGCTCAGGAGGAGAAAAAACGAAATGGTGCCATTCAAGTACTGAGTTCTTTTCGGCGGAAAGTCAGGATGTTAGCAGAGCCAGTCAAGACTTGCCGACAAAGGAAACTAGAAGCCAAGAAAGCTGCAGCTGAAAAGCTTTCCTCTCTGGAGAACAGCTCAAATAAGAACGAAAAGGAAAAGTCAGCCTCATTGCGTACAAAACAGAGTGAAAATGCAAGTCAGGCTAAACAGTTGGCAGGTAAATTTAATGTGAAGTATTATAGATGTGTGTTGTATGATACTTGTATTTAGAATTACATCAATTGAGGTCTTTGTTCTGTACCAAAATCTTTCCTCAGTTAGCAAGGGCCAGGCTTTGCTCTTGGAGATGGTAAAGAGGTACCACACCGTCAACCCCAGCTTGAGGGAGAAGTTAGGATTTTATTCTATAATAAAAACAGCAATATTTAACAGGTAAGTGATAGGGTGAAATTACCTCTCTGCCAATGCCAGATTAACACTAGAGGACCTAATAGTTTGGAGAAAGATGCAGTAAACCAAGAGTAAGATGACAAGACCTTGAATTTTGGTGGTAGTAGTGAAGATGTAGCAAAAACAATGCATTCATTACAAAACATGGGAATGAAGGAGAACAGTAATTTAAGGATGACTCCAGAGTTTTCAGCCTAGATAATGAAAATAGTATTATTTATTGAAATAAATTTATAAATATGATTTATGGGGGAGAGGTGGAAGAGAATAAGATACCTTTCTTTAGACATGTGAGTCTGCAGTTTAGGAAGGATTCTACCTGTAACTGTCCTATAAAATTCTTACCCATCGAAACAGAGTATACCTATAGTAGTAGCAATACAGCATTATTCATCACTGCTGATATTTTCTTTGCATAGCCCCTTGCTTTAGGCCTGCAGTTAGTGCTATTAAAAAAAAAAAAAAGTCCAAGTTTTGGAAATGGCATTGGCCTGGACAGTATCTTTTAAGTTTAGTGTGCCAGTTTGTTTAAAACCAACCCTCTTTACCTATAAAGTCAAATTTTCCTACTGATTCATTTCCAAGCTCAGAGAAACTAAGTAATTTAGAACAATATGTTAAAGATGCTTAATAAGTATGTGTTGATTGATTGGCTTACACTAAGAGAAGTAAATCCCTGATTCTTTCAGGTTAGCTGTAGAGTATACACAGATAAGACTTTGTCTCTGGTCCCGTCTAACTGGTTTCTACAGATAGTAATCATTTCAGTTCTTGGAATGGCCATTGCACTTCCCTTTATTTGTTCTTAACTCACAAAACTTTTTTAATGTAGCAGAAGTATAACTTTTAAAAGTTTTACAGAGCTTTTCAGTTCTTGGAATGGCCATTGCACTTCCCTTTATTTGTTCTTAACTCACAAAACTTTTTAATGTAGCAGAAGTATAACTTTTAAAAGTTTTACAGAGCCGAGAGTATCTTTAAAGTGTTATCTGTAACTGTAACTTTCCTTTCTGGAAAGCCTGCTCATGAAGTAGGGTTTGCCGGTTATATAAGATGCTTTTTATGTTTAAATGAACATCATTGTTTTTCTCATAACGTTGTTGAACCTTCTTTATTTTAATTACATAAATTCTCTTGTATGTCAGGCCTCAGAAAAATAAAATAAGACATGGCTCCCCTCCCTCAAGGAACTTGATTAGCAGTGGGAAGGGGCTAAAAATGGATATAGTACATTATGAATACTGCTTTATCATATCTGTGTTTGCAGTGGGTATTACAGAAGCACTGGAACGAGTTCACAGAAACCTTCCTTGAGGAAGAGATGACTAAGTCAAGGAAGCGTAGGGAGATGGGGTTGAGGGAGGAAGGCACTTTTGGCAGAGGCACATTGAGAAGCCCCAGAGAACGTGATACTCTCAGTGGAGTAGCTTCAGATGTTTATTATGTTTTCTTCAGATTGTACTGTAATAAGTTCTGCATTTTATTTCTAATGCTTTAGATGCAAAAATTGATGCTAGATAGTGATCAGAACCCTGACTTTGCTCTTGTCCTTACTTAATGGGTATTGCATAATCCTGGTGGTATTTTTCACATACATTTAAGTATCCTCACTAGCCTTCGTGAAATAATAAGTGTATTTGTTACTGCTCTCTCTTACCCCATCTACAGAACTTTTACGACTTTCAGGACCAGTCATTCAGCAGCCCCAGCAGCCCCAGACACAGCAACTGCAGAAACAGCAGGCCCAGCAACAGCCGCAGCAGGCCCAGCAACAGCCACAGCAGGCCCAGCAACAGCAGCCACACCCCTTGACTAATAACCCTCAGTCAGAGTCTATCAACTCTTACTCTTCTTCTGGATCCACCAGTCTGTACATGAGACGGCCCAATCCAGTTAGTCCTTATCCAAGCTCTTCACACCCTTCAGATGTTTATGGAGGTGCCAACCCTATGAACCTGTATTCCACCTCATCCCAAGCTGCAGGTTCGTATTTGAATTCTTCTAATCCCATGAACCCCTACCCTGGGCTTCTGAGTCAAAATAATCAATATCCATCATATCAATGCAATGGAAACCTATCAGTAGACAACTGCTCCCCATATCTGGGTTCCTATTCTCCCCAGTCTCAGGCCATGGATCTATATCGGTATCCAAGCCAAGACCCTCTCTCTAAGCTAAATCTACCACCCATCCATACACTTTATCAGCCAAGGTTTGGAAATAGCCAGAGTTTTACTTCTAAGTACTTAGGTTATGGAAACCAAAATGTGCAGGGAGATGCCTTCAGCAGTTGTACCATTAGACCAAATGTACACCATGTAGGGACATTTTCTCCTTATTCCACTCATGACATAGAAGGCCACTTCATGGGAGCCACCTCTAGATTACCACCCAACTTGAGCAGTCCAAACATAGACTATAAAAATGGTGAGCATCATGCATCTTCTCACACAATTCATAACTACAGTGCAGCTCCGGGCATGTTCAACAGCTCTCTTCATGCCCTGCATCTCCAAAGCAAGGACGACGTGCTTTCCCACGCAACTAATGGGTTATCTAAGATGCTTCCAGGTCTTAACCATGATAGAAGCACTTCTGTCCAAGGCAGCTTACATAAATTAAGTGATGCCAACAGTCAGGAAAAGCAGCCTTTGGCACCAGTTCAGGGTGTGGCTTCTGCTGCAGAGGAGAACGATGAGGTCTGGTCAGACAGTGAGCAGAACTTTCTGGATCCTGACATCGGGGGAGTGGCTGTGGCTCCAACTCATGGGTCAATTCTCATTGAGTGTGCAAAGCGCGAGCTTCATGCCACAACCCCTTTAAAGATTCCCGATCGGAATCACCCCACCAGGATCTCGCTTGTCTTTTACCAGCATAAGAGCATGAATGAGCCGAAACATGGCTTGGCTCTCTGGGAAGCCAAAATGGCTGAAAAAGCCCGTGAGAAAGAGGAAGAGTGTGAAAAATATGGTCCAGACTATGTGCCTCAGAAAACCCATGGCAAAAAAGTGAAACGGGAGCCCAATGAGCTGCACGAACCTTCAGAGCCCACTTACCTGCGCTTCATCAGATCCCTTGCCGACAGGACCATATCCATGACCACAGACTCCACAGTAATGACATCTCCATATGCCTTCACGCGTGTCACAGGGCCTTACAACAGATATATATGATGTCGCCCCTTTTGTTGGTTACCTCATTTGAAAAGACCAGAACCAACCTGTCAGTAGTGTATAGTTGGCATGATGTTGGCAATGGGGAAAGGTCACAGTATTCATGACAAATGTTGTGGGAAAATCCTCAGCTCACCAGCAAAAAAAAGAGGTAATCTTACCCTAGCACTTAATTTCCACTGACTCCCAAGTGGTCACAGATGGCATCTAGGAAAAAGACCAAAGCATTCTATGCAAAAAGAAGGAGGGGGAAAAAGGTGGGGAAGAAAGGTCTGCAATTTACATTTTTAAACACTGGTTCTGTTATTGGATGAGATATGTAAATGTGATTTTTCCCCGTACGACTCTACACATCTGTGACCACTTTTAAGGATATCAAGTTTGCATAGTCATGGAACACAAATCAAACAAGTACTGTAGTATTACAGTGACAGGAATCTTAAAATACCATCTGGTGCTGAATATATGATGTACTGAAATACTGGAATTATGGCTTTTCAACATGCAGTTTTTACTGTAATCGTAATATTAACTTTTATTTATCAAAATAGCTATAGGAAGCATAAATGAATAGCAGCAAAACACTGAATTTGTTTGGATGTTCTAAGAAATGGTGCTAAGAAAATGGTGTCTTTAATAGTTTAAAATTTAATGCCTTTATATTATCAAGATGCTATCAGTGTACTCCAATGCCCTTGAATAATAGGGGTACATTTTCATTCAACTTTTTGTCATAATTACCTGTTCTTGCAAGTTTAGTTTTTAAAATGTGGAAGTTTTAAAGGCCTCTGGATTTTGCTCATCCAGTGAAGTCCTTGTAGGACAATAAACGTATATATGTACATATATACACACATATGTATATGTGCACACACATGTACATGTATAAATATTTTAAATGGTGTTTTAGAAGCACTTTGTCTACCTAAGCTTTGACAACTTGAACAATGCTAAGGTACTGAGACATTTAAAAAAAAAGTTTACTTTGATTTTAGAATGCAAAGTTTTTTTTTAAGGAAACAAGGAAAACTTTTAAAATATTTTTGCTTTTAGCCATGCATCTGCTGATGAGCAATGTGTCCATTTTTAACACAGCCAGTTAAATCCAAAACAGGGCTTACTGGATTCAAGGGAATATGTTAGTCCACAAAACATGTTTTCTGGTGCTCATCTCACATGCTATACTGTAAAACAGTTTTATATAAAATTGTATGACAAGTTCATTGCTCAAATATGTACAGTTGTAAGAATTTTTTATTAACTGCAGGTAATAATTAGCCGCATGCTACAAGACTCAACAAAGCTAGTTCATTTAAGCCTATGCTTTTTTATAGACCTGTATGCTCTTCAGAGAACTGAATGGCAGTCTGCCTTTGTGTTGATAATTATGTACATTGTGATGTTGTCATTTCTTAGCTTAAGTGTCCTCTTACCAGGAAGATTGAGCAGACTAAAGCCTGCATAAGATGAATAAACAGGGTTTGTTCCATGTGAATCTGTTGGCTAAAAAGAAACAAAACAGGCAGCTGGTTTGCTGTGGTGGTTTTAAATCGTTAATTTGTATAAAGAAGTGAAAGAGTTGTATAGTAAATTAAATTGTAAACAAAACTTTTTTTAACGTAATGCTTTAGTATTTTAGTACTGTAAAAAATTTTAAATATATACAAATATATAGATATATATGTGGGTTTGAAGCAGAATTCACATCATGATGGTGCTACTCAGCCTGCTACAAATATATCATAATGTGAGCTAAGAATTGATTAAAGGTTTGAGTGATGTTCCTACTTGTCATATACCTCAACACTAGTTTGGCAATAGGATATTGAACTGAGAGTGAAAGCTTATAGCATTGTGTACCATCATTTTTTTCCAAGTCTTTTTTTTATTATTAGAAAGCATACCTTTTTTCAATACTTGATTTTCTGAGCAAGTATAACTTGAACTTCAACCTTTTTGTTCTAAAAATAAATTCAGGGATATTTCAGCTCATGTTCTCCTTATGCCAACATGTCACCTGTGTGTTTATGTAAAATGTTGTAGGTTTAATAAATATATTTTTCAGGGATTTAACCATTTTGAATCCCTCCTATTTTACTTGTATATGTACTGGTGTAACTAAAACTAATTTTGTAAATCTGTTGGCTCTATTGTAAAGAAAAGCATTTTAAAAGTTTGAGGAATCTTAACTATTTCAAGCAGAAAAAAATAGATGAAAATAGAATGCACTGAGCTGATAAAGGGAAAATTGTAAAGCAGGAGTTTGGCAAGTGGCTGTTGGCCAGAGTCTTTTAACTCTAAATAAAGCCTTTTTGATCCTATAATCAATACAGGTACTCCATGAAGACAAATTTAAATAGGCAAAGTATCTAGAAGTATTGTGTGCAATAGACTGTACAATTACATTTCGGTCTAAATATATTTTTGCTTACTAATATTTTACATAAATTCTTAATCAAAGGAGGCCTTTGAGTTTTATAAGCCAAATCTTTATGACTTTTGTCTTTTAAAAAAATTGAGTTTTTGGCTATGTCTAATTATAAACATTTCAAAAATGTTTGCTTTGCATACAAACATGATTTTAATGTTTTACATATACCATAATATTTAACCCAAAATATTTGGTTACTACATGTGCATTTGGTGATTTTGAGTCAGCCATCCTTAATGAATTTTTGGCTTGCACATCATTCACTGCCATTTGTCAAACTGCTGGCCAACAAGAGCAGGAAGTGTAGTTTGGGTAGGGAGGAGAAGTTGAGTGGCATATTGTAAATATCCGATCTATAATTGTAAATATCAAACCTGCCTCAGTAAGAGTGAATGAAAAGCAGATCTACAATTTGCTTATATAGGAATATCAGGTTGACTATATAGCCATACTTGAAAATGCTTCTGAATGGTGTCAACTTTACTTGAATGAAATTTTCATCTTGACTGACGCACAGTGATGTACAATTCACTTCTGAAGCTAGTGGTTAACTTGTATAGGAAGCTTTTGCAATCTGACACTAAGATTATGAATTTCTGTGTGCATTTTTCTATGCTTTTTTTTTTAACTTAGTTTCATTTCATTTTCATGAGATGTTTGGTTTGTTTATAAAATCTGAGGATGTTTATAAATACTGTAAGTATTGTAATGTTATGAATGCAGGTTATTTGAAAGCTGTTTATTATTATATCATTCCTGATAATGCTATGTGAGTGTTTTTAATAAAATTTATATTTATTTAATGCACTCTTAAGTGTTGTCAGGCTGAAGTTTCTGTTTACTGCCTGAATGACTGCCACCTCATTGAAGAAAAAGGGAATGAAAAATTGTTTTTTAAAGATAGTTTAAGAACACAATATTAAGAATAACTATTTAAAAACTCTATCTAAAGTAATACCCTAATTAAGGCCAAAGTATTTCTCTGGTTGAATAGGTTTTTGCTTTTTTTTTTTTTCTTCCAGCTTACTCTTCATGCAATTCACTTAACATGTGTAGACAGTATTAACAGCACTTCTTTTTTTTTTTTTTTTTCTTTTTTGTTTTTTTTTTACTGACCGGTAACGGGATCGCA